CCTGGATTAAGACTCAAAGCGTAAGGTAATAATGTTTTAGGTATTTCTCCGAAATCAACCATTATTTTGATAAACATTGCGTCGTCTCGTACATAAGGATTTCCTTCCTGTTGAACCATTTCCAACGGGATAAATTTTGGAATACCACTAGCTATATTCATATCCGATCGAGGCCGCTGGAAACTACTTGATTTAATATCTGGTCGAAATGAATCGATAATATGTCGTTGTGCAGGTGTTTGATCATACAAACAAAAAGAGACTTTATAGTTGAATGAAAACTTGAGAATTGAATCGTTCAAACCTCGCATAAGCACAATAAAGAGTGACATATGTGTACGACGAGCATTTCCATCTCCATTTAAATAAAGACGAGCTCTCATTTTATAGCCATTTGGAGATGAATAAAATGGAGGTGAATAAATTGATGTTTGTCTTTCAGACTGTGCGTCAACTAGAAATTAAACAATAAATAAATACATAAACAAAAATAGAAGCTCATGCAAAAGAATTTAAGAGATCGACAGCGTTGAGAAATTAGTTTGTCAATTCATCAATTAATTGCTTATATATTGTATTCGTGCATGATTATATATTATGATGAATGTAACGTTGAATTATACATGTATTATTTGTCGATATTATAGAAACTGAATAACATCTTATTCTTTGATTATCTTTTGAGATAAGATTTTCTATTTTATCATTGAGCATAAAAGTAATTATTCATCTTACTCATTTTCTCTTGAAAATTTGTAATTTTCCAAACCAATGTTCCATCATATGAAACATATTGCAAATCATTGATTTTTTCTTGTAATGATGATAAATCTTGATTGAGAATGACTTGATTATGTTTTATTCCTTCCAAAAAAGAATTTGATCCTTCAATGGATAATTTAACTTTGGATAATTCTTCTGTCAATGTTGGAAGTGTTATTTGCATTTGAAGTGATTCATTGGTTAGACATTGTTCATCATTGATCAATGTTTCGATAGCACCTGCCAAGATATTTAGCATTTCATGAAGCTCTTCTAATTGAGCAACAGGAGGATTGCAAGCTCCTGCAGTTGTTGTTCGAGGAAGATCAATATCCATTTGTCTGTCGTTTGATTGTGACAACATTTGCCGAACAACATTGAGTATGGCATGTTGATGTTGTTTAGTCAAATAGTGATCTTTCATCTTGGCACGGATAATCTAAAGGACATAAAATTTGGAATGTTAATTTCACCTACAGAATATTCATACTGGCTCATTACAACCAAAGTCTTTCAATATACAGTCAACAGTTAGTTGTTGACATTCGAAGAGTTTATGTTCATTAAATTTGTTAATTGAGTTGAATTGTTCGCCACAGTATTCACCTTTGAGATTTGAATGAGATTGATCGAGATGTTCCTTTGGAAGAGAAAAGAAAGAAAATTCATGAATACAATAAATATAAAATAAATTACTTGATAGTTACTTAAGACATCAGTCCACTGGCAAAAAGAACAATCAATGGATAGTAATTTCATTTCATTTGTGAAGCCGCGATCAAGCGGCACCTATGCAAAAGAGATATATTTTCACTTTAATTATGAAAAGATATTTTACCTCGATTCGTAATGTTTCTGATTGACATTGCTGACATTTAATTGTCGTTCTTTAGGAAGAACACTGAAAAATAATACTTCAAATCGATACTGAAACATACTCTTGTTCAACATTTAAACATGTTTGACACTGACGATGACCACATTGAGTCAATTGTACAGGATCTCGTAGTATTAATGAACATGCAGGACAAATATATTTCGTATCAAGAATATGTTTATTTCTAGCATCGATGCCTACCATTATTTGAATTTTTTTTGTTGTTCAATGTATAAATAGCAGAAAACTTTCTGAAATGTCAAAACTAATTTAAGTAGATTAGTATCCTAATAACTGAGCGGAGAAAGGTTAGTTTTTGAAGTAAACATTATGCTAAATAATCTATCTGGAAACTAGAAATGAGTATTAAAATATGATAAGGATTTCCAATTTTCAAAATAGAAAATAGTGAGAAGTCCGATATAGGCCCATTTACTACTATTTGACCAGATCTTGAGTTCATTGTCGATGCGTTGAGTGAAATTTCGATTGTAGATGGATCATCACTGATGAGAATAATTTGAACGTTAATATGCACATCAAAGCCTTTCTCTTACTTCAGTAGAATCGTTTAAAAAATGATTGAATTATAGAGGCTCATTCAAACTATGATAATGATTTATTGCATAATTACATTGCTAATAGTTGTAATTTTTAAAATTTTTTTTCAAAGAATAATTGATCGTTTTGTTTATTTTGATAATGATGCATTTTCTCTATTTCTTGGATTTTTCAGAGGAAACTTCAAGTGTATTTAATTGTCTGTAACTAAAAAATAAAACCATATATGTACCTTTCTATCCGCTTATAGTGAAAAATATTCATCCCTTACATATCAACACGAAATGTAAGCTATATATATATATCGAACGTATATGATTCATATGTAGTATTAGGCAATACTGTTGAAATGTGTAACACGTTAATGATGATCTTGAATTTACCTCTTCGTGGAGGGCTCATTTTTAGAGCAAATAACGTAAAAACCTATTGTTAATATGGTATACTTTCAAAATTATTGGCGATCATAATTCTCACACTTAAACCCGATTTAGAGATGCAATGCTATTCCTAGTGACATCTTTGCCAGTATACAACAAATATTGAAAAGGCCTGTTTTGCTACATTTTGGCCTCGCTCGCAATTTACATTTTGAAAACGCAAACTTATGGGCTTTACCGTTAAAAGGTTAATAAAACCTAACTCTTGACAAAGTAATCTCATTATAGATTAATTTCAAATAACTTCCAAACACATCATATTTCATATGACTCATTTGACATTACTACATAGAAAAAATGTTTTCGAAAGTATAAATATACGTTGGATTAATTCAATGAATCATGCAATTGATAGGTATAATGTTTTCTTCACTTCCTCTTGGGAAAAGTTTCACCCATTTTCCAACGATATACAATTAGCAATTGTCTTTTTCCTGTTTTTTGTAATCCGATACGGAACAAACATTTTCGATTAAAATTCCCAAGCTGTTTTGACGTAAATTATTATAGAAAAACTTCGGACGATAAGATCGGAAATTTAATACACTGTAGAAGCCTTTGAAAATATATACAACATCAAACATCATGTTGTTGTGCATCTAGTGATGTGGTAGATTTGATTTTTATCAATGATTAGAAGTCTATATCGGTGTCGGGTGTTGGTGTGAGTGTGGTAGTCAAAAAGATCCACACACTCATACCCACACCCACTCACATCCACCCACACCCGCACTCCACATCCACATCTGTACCCACATCCACCCATGCCCACACCCATCCACACCCGCACTCACACCCACACGCACACTCCACACCCGCACCCACAATCCACACTCACTATTTTCTTCGAAAACATACGTGAGTTCCACAAAATAGCAAAGACAGAACAGGTGATACATTATGTATAGCTTTCTACCAAGAAGAAAGGACAAGAAAGTGTTTGTTATATGAAGTTTCTTGTTAAAATATAGTGGAATCCACGGGTGGATTTCATCGCCTCGAACCTACTAATAGTAGGTTTCGTGAAGTTCATTTGAAAAATAAACATTTCAAGCTAAATTTTGATCTTTCATTCATGTAAAGCAAACAAAATTGTACGTATATATGAAAATCTAAATTCTATTTTCAAAATGGTTTAAAATTATTAAGCTCATTCTTCTGGACGATTTTGTCGTCGAGAGCATCTCAAAATTTCTTATGGATCAGCTAAAAATTTGAGTATTACCATGTTCAAAAAAATCTATTGAGATCACACATTCATTGCACAAGCGCAATGATGATTAAACAATTACCTTACATGGGATAACTTTATACAGTTTTTTGTTTGCAGATCTTTTTTGTAAGCTTTGTAAAACAAAGATAGACTTTAGATATAGCCTCAAGGTTAGTGTAGTGTTGAAGAAGACCTTAAATTATCGATTGGTGAAAAAATCAGAAACACAACAAGTACTAATCGCTCAAAAATAGGGATTTTAAAAAATATATACAATTTTTCTTTGTAATGATTTCTTATCTCTATAGCTCTCTCTTTTCTTTGTAAGTTCTTCTTTTTCAATAGCTGTGGAAACTGTTTTGAATGCAGTTTTTTCAATTAAAAACTGTATAAATTTTAGCACAAAATATTTCTGAATCAGTATGTATAGTGAAAAGTAAAATCTGATATTTTGCATATAGTACGATAGTATACAACTGTACACGTTGATATATGGTCGTAAATGATGAATGTTTAACTCCGTATACGGAAACCATTTATAATCGTTCCGCTCCGTATATATTCATCATACACGAAGACTGTGTACAATCTTCGTTTGTCTTCATAAACAGTCATTTACGAGCAGGCTTGTTCGACCTGGGTTACCTTAGGTTATAACACAAATATTTTGGTTAGACAATACATGAAGAAATTTTAAGGTTTTGTTCGATGTTGCAACATGTAACATACTTGATATAGTTTTCGAACAGACAAATGGAACGATAGAATTCAAGAAATGAAAGAAATTTCAACACATCGATGTTCAAAACAAAAAAATTAGTAAAGTAGAAAGTAGTTTTTTGAAAATACAAAAAAATATAACTAAAATTCAATGTGAAAAAAAATAATCTTAATTATTCACCACAGAAAACTATCAATTGTTTAGAACTAAAAGCGACAAATTTGAATTATATTCGAATGTTTGAAAAAGAAACCACCATATATTTCTTCTGCAAGGCAATAAAAATTTTAATCAATTTTTATTGCATGAGATTTCGATGTTAAATCACAGTTAAAATAACTCAATGTAAATAAAATGATTTGAATATTTTCTTGTTGTTTTTTTTCTCGTTTGAGTTATGAAAACAACTAGATAATCATTTTTCAAAAAGACTTTATAAATGTGTTTGTATATGTCAACATTTATTGGCAAGTAATTAACACATAAAATTCATTTTCTGAAAAATTAAATTTTCACAAATCATAACAAAAGAAAATATCATTTCATTCACATTGATATTTCAACGGAAAATAATTGACAGAAAATTGAATTACTATGCATATTGATTAGAACACAAAAAGACAAATATTGACGATGAGTTATGTAATATTTCAAGTATAAGAAAGTGTTTTTTTTGTTGACATCTGCAACATGTTCTTTAGGATATCCTTGATTAGGACAGGCAGGACTCCTTTTTTTTTGAAAATACATGCTTATTGAATAAACAGGAAGTATCAATTCTTTATCGTCGACTGTATCTTCATCAATAACATTTTCTTCATCTTGCAATATTTGATCAGATAATACATCTTTATAAAAAAAGAACTATTTCAAGCATAAATGAATAAATCCTACAGCTTGACATATTGATGCTGTTTCTGAGATGGCTTGTTCATCATTAAGAATATCAAAAAAGAACTTTTAAAAACATGATAATCATTTGATTAATTATATTATTCAGTTTTTATCATAAAGAAAATATGAAAAAATCTTAGCAAACCTTTTTTTTTCGACAACATTAATACCATTCTCAACAATATTTATTGGATCTAGAAAAGATTAAAAATTAACAGAAGAAACTTTAGATATGAAAAAAGATGACATACTCTTTTCATTACTATCATAAAATGAATGTATATCATCTGGTGGTTCATTTGGGGTACGAAATTATTCATAGATTATGTCGTCAAATGACGGAAACAGTGGTTTCTGAAAAGATAACGTTTGCTAACGACCGAGGTTTTCCAACTGATAACTCGAGACTACATGCATTATATAGATCGAAATGAGCTTTAAATATTGTACCGCAAGGATACTACATTGCTACGGTATTTTAATATCAAGTACCGTAGTCCCTTCAGGAACACCAGGAAAACTCATTATCGGGTTTTGACTTGAACCTTCACGCAAAGTCAAGCATTAACAAGATTCGCCTATTATGTAAGTTTCAAGTCATTTGAATGGTTAGATGCGAGAAAACCAAACAAACAAAAATATCGAAAGCATGATGTTAATCCACACCTCATTTTCACTTAACAATCAACAAGGATGTGGGTGTGGGTGGGTGAAATGAATACCAACACACACTCACACGTACACCCACACCCTCACACCCATGCCCACACCCACACCCACCCACACCTACACACCCACACCCACACCATCTATCTTATGTGACCATGCACTTCATCGAAGCTGACACAACAAAAAAAATTCTTCTTGCAGAGGATTGAGTTTTAAAACTTTACTTGAGATTATGTCATACCTCATATTCAAATTCTAGGGTAATGTGCAGTGTTTTACACTCTCTATTTGTAAGCATATTAAACAAGGGGGAAACGGCGGACTTTTGGACTTGAAGTTACTTTGAGCTACTTTAAGCTACTTTTTAACTTCAAATTTACCTAAAGTTACTTAAAGCTGCTTGTTCCTACTTTGGGCTACTTGAGTGGTATTTTGAGCTATTTCAAGTAGTCTACTTTGACGTACTTTTCTACTTCAAGTCCGCCGTTTCCCTCTTGATATTAAAATAAACGATGATGAAAAAGAAAAAAGTCATCGAATTATCTTATGAAAAAACGAAAACTATTGATAAGAATGTCTTGATATAGGTTAAAAAACATCACTATCGTTCTAAATAGTTAATCTATTATTATTATTATTATCTTTTCAAGTTGTTTATGGAAAAAACGATGTGAAGATTGGATTTTTATTAGTTGAAATGAAAGCG